CACCCTACAATATCACATTACAATGAATCATGTTGCATTTGCAAGTGTTTCCCTGTCATCACTACGATGAAGCTGGCTTGGTAGCTGAGTGACCCTCTGCTGGTCACAATATGGCAACTAGTATTGCTCGCGAGGATGTTTTGATGGGAAAGAATAGTTATCGCACCGTGGACCAACACTCGTATGTTGTGCTAAGGTTCCAAGAGATCTAATAGGTGCCACTTATGTTCTCTATTTCTTAGGAATTATTTTAGAAGTATAAAAAACAACATAATTTAATTACTTTATGCATCACGTTTTCAAAATCTATTTTGAAATTACTTGCATCCTACCTTAGACCATATGTAAGGTCAACCTTTTTAAAAGTTTTCCATAAAACTTGCATCTAGCGGCGCCTCTTAGAATCCTTGGATCCTTAAGACAGGGTTGGAGACGGTGACAACGTCAAAACATATGTCAGTCTTTCGACATAATTATGCATCCACTAAGATGTTGTGTAAGGACACTATGTTAGATGGTGTGCTATACTAAGGATTAGGATGTTAGGTCATGCCTAAAACACACACTCACACATGTAATAGAGATGAGCAAGTAATGATGATGACACTCTTTTTCTACAGTTGTCACTAAGCTCCTCTCGCCATGAATGGATCATATGTGTTACATGTTTGTAGCTTTTTCTGCTAACCTTGTTTTCAAGCAAGTCGAGTCTTTTTTTTTTTAAATTTTCCTATGTACTTCTTAGAGCCCCAGAAGAGTCTTGTATTACAAATAAGATACGGGCACATGTTTCGAGATGTCAGACAGGCAGAACCACGTGACAGGGACCAGGAACTGCTTGCTCGTGTCCCATACTTTACTTGAAAATTTCATTGATGTATAGAATTAGAACCAAGTATGTACTTGTGTTGTATATGACCAACTTTTTCTGTTTTCGAGATATTTTACCAACCTAGCAACACCCGGCCTTTTATTATTTTTACTTGGCTTGCTTTTTTATTTTTCTTGCATGCTTGTGTCTTGAAATTAGTTTCCCCTTTTTTCCTTATGAATTTGTTTGGGAATCATGTGAATCGCTCATGCTCTTTAGTACCTAAATCTTATATACTTTTTACAAAAGTTTAATAATAAAATTTTGAGACTAAATAAATTTAGGTTTAAAATATTCAACATTTTGAAAATCTTCTTTTACTTTCCGTCATTGCCTTCAGCCCAAATTTTAAATGGGTTGCATAATATGTATATCATCTAAGTCGTTTTAATAGAGCCTCCACACTTAGAATTTAAATAGAAAACTGCATCATTCTACGTGTCCAGACGAGAAATCTCCGTGTTTCTTCAATCTGCCTGACCAACCCCAATTCAATTTATTAGCATGTGAGCCGACTTATTTAAAATACCAATAGATATAAAAATATTGAATATCATTTAATTTTAAGATTCATGACTAAGTTCATCTCCAACATCTATTTTTCCTATCATTTTCCACTTTTCTCTAGTTGGGCAAAGAGTTCAAGCCACCAGTGATAAATAAAAGTTTGATGAGATAGATATATAAATGATGAATATGTTTTAGCATGAAGATCAATGATATTTATTCATTAATATTTTTTTTTCTTGATGATTACATTTGGGTCATCTTTTAAAGAGCGTATTTTCCAACTAAGGTTCATCAACGAAATAAATTTGTTATGACAATTTCATTATGTAATTCAAACACTCGTAGTTTTTTGTGGGATTATGCATTCCATCAAAGAGAAGATGTTAGAAAAAGATTTTGGATTTTAGGATCATATCAATAGAGTCCTCCAAATATTCATGATTATGTGAACATATACGATCATTACTTTCCTCCCTCATGTTATTATTTATTACCAGACTGAGTGGATTTTCTTATGAGAAGAAGTCGTGTCTATTGTATTCTGAGTTTTCTTTTTACAAAGTCTTAATGATATCGTAGATCTAATGTTTCTTTAGAGGACGGATTCCAAGTTTGAAATGAATTAAACAATGGTAATAATTGTTCATACATAAAGCAGGTATATAAAAGACCAAAATACTGCATACAAAAAAGTTGTGAAAGAATATCATGATATGATAAATTTATTACAACAAATTATTAAACATCTTAATAAATAATATTCTCAGCAAGTTAAAGTAAGTTGATTTCAACTTAAATGTTTTGTTGATGTTATAAAGTAGCATGTCGTTTAAGTTTGTGCTCGTAGAAAATGTTGTGTTTCTCAATAATAGAGCGTAAGTCGGAATAGTTATTACTTTTTTTTTAGAAATATAGGTGCGGCTATTGAAGAATTATGTTTGGAAATGTCTTATTTTTTACTTTCAAATTTATTGTCTCTGGATGGGGGTGTTGCCCACACAAGTCTATAAAGCAGTCTATGTATTGAATCTTGATGAGATCATTTTTAGTCTAGTTGAGGAAGAACTCAAGTGTAGTGGTGAGGCGCTGATGGAAAGCTCTTTGTGATGAAATTTACCCCCAGTCTGTAAGCAGTTATCAAAAACTTGCAGTTTGAATGGGAAGTATGATGACAACCTTATCACAATCGTGCATATGATGTTAACGTGAATGACTTCTTTCATAGGCCGTCTCTAAATGAGATGCAAGAAGATAACGTGAACGACCTTTGAGACTATGGCAAAGATTGCACCCCCACCCCCCCTAGGCTCTCCAAAGGCTTCATATGGGAATGAAATGTGGTAGGATCACCCCACCACAATCATGCCTAAAACAATAATGTGAACGAATTTCGAGACAATGAAGGTTATCCTAACATCGAAGAATGCAAAGAGCCGGGGGCTCAATGTCTCAGGCTTCAAGACTATACCCAATGAGATTTCGTGTCACAAGCCAGCTCGATGCAATCCATCAAATCGAGGAGTTTTGCCTCATGTCAAGGCCATAAAAAATAAATTATTATCCAAGCTCTACTCGGAAGAAATTTTCATAAACACAAAGCCACTAATATTATCAAATATTAAAAAATAAAAAATGCCCAAAAGTCATTCAGATAAAATCACTATACAACAATTATGATTTAAAATCTCTATCAACAAAATAAACACATTATCATGACAATCAATAATATATATATCTAAAATTCTGACATACAAAATATTAGGCTCTCAATTGTAACCCAAAAGTTTCTATTGAACTTAATTCTTAACCCTTAATTTTCACCGAAACAACACATGTGAGAAGCAAAGATGGCTATTCAAAGTCTACTACATTTTTTAATATATAAAAATTATGGGCACATATTTGATGTAAGAAAATCCAAATGTCAAAACATCATGTACAGTATCTAGCAGTGACATTACCATAAATTGTAACTACAGTAAACATATGTTGAGTAACAATATAAACAATTGATATCAAAAATATAGTAAAATAATATGAAAATCAAAATTTATCTTTTTATTTAAATTATTTTAGGATTTCATTATCATAATAATCTTATTTATCGGCGGTGCCAACAACATTGATGTTTGCACAAAATTGCTTTTGTATTAATTGCAACATAACATTCACAATATGTTTTTTTTATGTATCTATATTAGCTCTTCTATACCCAGCTTCTTGTCAACTCGTCCTGAATCATTTGTCGTCTGAGGAAAGCTGGCAGCACGAAGCTTCAAGTGGTTGACATTCTAATTTGTTTAACAAATGGTCTACAAGTGTAACATATACAAACATAAGAATCATGCATTTACATACAAACCACACAATTCATTTGTATTTACATATAGTACTCCTGAACTTCATACATTTATAAAAACCAAATCTTTAATATCACAATAAACAATACCACTATTTTACTTTCAAAAAATGAAATATATCTTTACATACATAGGTTAATAAGAATACCAAGAATAATTCTCAAGTTTAACAGGACTTAAGATCAATTAGAAACTAAGAGTCCGTTTGGGGCAGCTTAAAAGTGCGGGCGGCGTTTTGAAAACGCTGTCATCTCGTTTGGTTAGCACTTATTTCCAGATTGTCCAAAACTCGGTTTTTAGTTTTTTCTGAAAGACGCGGACCGTGGGAATCGCCCCGCGGTTTGCGTTTTGCGAATTTCTTTTTACGTTAGGGCCCTTGCTTGTCCCGTGACCCTCATTCGCTCACCCTTGCCATCGGACATCTTCGCTGAAGCGCTCCGGAGATTTCTCGTGCCCTAATCGCTCCTCCCCTACGAATCTGGTTCGTTTTGCCTCTCGTTCTTCTACATTTGACTCCTTCGACACCTCTTGTTTGGATTTACCACTCTACATATATAAATATAAATCAACTTTTTTGTATTTTCTTGTCTCAATATTTTTCTTTAAATTTGTTGAGAAAATAACAAATTCTGTTGCACAGATTATTTATTTAATTAAAAAAAAATTTGCAAATAAGCTGTTTACAAAACGCACTAATCAAACAGCTAAACAGCTTATTCAGAACAGGAGCAGAATGGTCAATTTTTCAGAATCCGAATCAGTTGTTTTCCATAAGCGCAAACCAAACAACCAGACAATTTATCTGGATCAGCTGCTCATTAGCAGATTATCAGGATAAGCTGTTTATCAGCAGAAACGAGATAAGCTGCAGCTGCCTCAAACAGACCCTAAAATCACACTGCGAAATAACGAGACAGAACAAAATCTTTAAGTAGAAAGCACACTTGAAGCATATTAGTAATCATTGCGTTAAGATTATCTTGTCAAAATTCAATCCAAACTTTTACAACACAAAAGAATGAAAGTTTCATTTTCCAAATTTGGCAGAACAAAATGACAAATTTTTACTAAAAGATCCTAAATTTTATTTTTACATAATATATACACACAAATGATTTCTCCCTCAGCGGAGAAAATAGAGGGAAACAGAAGCCAGAGAGAGGAAGACGGCGAAGGCGGCGAAGCAGATATCCCCGAAGCACAACCTCTTATCCCTCCTCTCCTCTCTGCTTCTCTTCATCTTCACATACTCCAAATACCTCTCCCCAGCCTCATCCTCTCCCATCCCCTTCCTCTCCCCCTCCATCGCCGCCACCACCGCTCCTTCCGCCACATCACCACCGCACCCACCGCCAACCCCTCCCTCACCGTTGCGAACCGCGCCACCGTCTCCCCTACGCACCAATCTCTTTTCTCCACCGCCACCGCCCTCCGGCTCGATAAGTTCACCGCCCGCCCCTTGGCAGGGTCTATCACTATCCAGCTCAAAGTCAGATCTTTGGGCGATACAGCCCCTGTTGCGGAAGGCGCGTCGATTAAGAAGGCGGAGTTGCGGAACCAGGAGGTGGAGGTGTCGGTCTCGATGACGCGGGAAAAGATTGGGACGCCGCGGTGGTAGAGATCGACGGCGGAGATTAGTTTGTCGGGGAGGTTGGTGTTATGGGAGGGTGAGGAGGATGCGGGGAAGGGATGGGCGTCGGAGAAGAAGATTCTGGGGGAGGAGTTGAGGAGAGGGAGGTGAAGGGGGTGGTTGAGGGAGGGCCAGGTGGAGAGGCAGAGGCGGCGCCAGAGGTCTGGGTGGGAGGCCAGGGAGCGGAGGTGGGAGCTAGCGCAGCTTGCCGAAGCGAGGGATGGGCCGTCCAGGTGCCCAAGAGCTTGCATAAGGATGTCGCCATGAATTTCGTTCATTTTCGTCTTGCCAGGGAAAGGGGGATTGCTTGATTTTATAGTTGGTGTTGAATGTTGATGATGAAAAGGCAAAGAGTGGACCGCCGGTTTAGTTGGAGTATTTCTCCGTTGACTGACTCAGAGGACACGGCCACACGTAGTCGTGGTTTTCGACGCTTTGCTATTTTATTGTAAATGGGAGATTTATTTTTTTAATTTAAGGCAACATGAATGCGTAATTAAAATAGAAGTAATGTTTCAAATTAAAAAAAAAAGTTATAGATTTTCATCATCCCGCACATTCTTGTAATAAATAAAACATATATTTGGAAGATTTTTGGACACATTTGAAAGGTCAAACTGATGTCGACACTAGCAAACCTATACTTGAATCGAGGGTCTCGACAAGACAAATCCAACGAGCCCAAGATCACTCAACTTCAACATCATTAATACATCGTTAAGGCACTCAATTGTGTCCCATGAAAGCCACCGGAGACCTCCAACGATCACTGCCGACCTCTGTCAACCGTCATCAACCACCATCGATCACTACCAACCAGACGTTGTCAGTCGACTTTGTAACCTATAAAATATAATTACATTTTCTCGTCTGTGGAACAAGGAATTTCTGTAATCATCAATCAATAGTTGATTTCCGCAACTGGGTCATGCCCCGTGGTTTTTCCCTTAAGGGTTTTCCGCGCAAAAACTTCTGAAGTCATAACCGCTTGTTTCTCTTTCATTTGTGTGTGTTGAACATTTGTACAATGCTAAGACGATAGTCTGTTACTTTACCGCCGCGAATTTTCTAGCACACATCAACTATAAATTAATAGTATTTTAATTTATTCACTCAATTTTAAATTCGGCGGCGAGAAATGTGTGTAATGGATTAATTTTGAAGTTGAATTATGTTTCAATAATTTGAGCCGTAGTTTAGTTTCTTCTATGGGATTCTTTTGAAATTATTTTTGTTTAATTTAAATTTATCATGTGAGACATGTTTAAGAATCATAACAGTATGAATCTTGCGGGAGTATTTGCGAGAGATAGAGAAGGAAAAAGAAGTAAACGAGTGCACATATACTTATCCCATAATAACAAAATGGAATATTTTAGGACTCTATAACCCATTTTATATATTGTAAATGAAAGGTTACAAGAGAAAATGGGAGATAGACCTTCTTACAATATATATATATTTGGCGGCGAGAAGTGTGTGTAATGGATTAATTTTGAAGTTAATTAGGTTTCAATAATTTGAGCTATAGTTTAGTTTCTTGGGATTCTTTTGAAATTATTTTTGTTTAATCTAAATTTATGGTGTCAGACATGTTTAAGAATCAGAACAGTAGGAACCTTGAGTGAGAATTAGCGAGAGATAGAGAAGGAAAAAGAAGTAAACGAATGCACATAGACTTATCCCATAATAACAAAATGGGGTATTCTAGGACTCTATAACCCATTTTATATATTGTAAATGAAAGGTTACAAGAGAAAATGGGAGATAGACCTTCTTACAATATATATATAT